AGATTTGTATATATTTAGCTAGTATTACACCTATTCTAGAAAACTCGAAGTTGGTGTGTGTGGTGACCGTCGGTGCGTAGCATTAGCCCAAATACGGTAATCAACGCGTAGTACTGTAGTATGAGCCTGGTCTGATCGTTACCAGATAGATGTGCATGCGTCCGTCCACGGCCGCTTCTAGATTGCCACTTGTAGGTCGCCTAATAACAATGTCAGCATGCACATGCTCGTTTCCCGGTCGGCCGGGGGTAGTAGCCTCGGACTGGGCAGTCTTTGGGGGAGCACGAGGGAGCCTGGTGGCACAGAGAGGTCCCCCAGTGGGGTTAGTACTTATGTGCCGTCAGCCGTTGGGGAGATAGTCGAGTCCTAGTCATGTAAGTGGCTCCCATTACGTTTTGGTAAGCGCCATCTGGCAACGGCGCCTGTTTGTGCAGTGTCAGATACTAGAGCAGAATGGAGGCTACGTCGGCGGGAACATGTCGCAACGCATGTCCAGCGTTAGACCCGACCGAGTAGAAACCGATTCTATTCTTGGCGCCGGCGGACCCAGCACACACACACACACACACACACACACACACACAGGACACGTGCCGTGCCTCCAACATGCATATTCTCGAGCGTAGCATTTGCATTCTCCATCCTCGCCCCCAGACGTTAGTTGCATACGCGTAACCGCGAGCAAGCTACGCTAAGGCTGTACGATGATCGCCACCGACGCATGAAATCTGCAGTCGGGTTGTATCCTTGTGTGGCCAAGTCATCCGCCATAGTCCTATCACCCACGCTTGCGGCTAGATTTGCGGCCCCGATATGGACTAGCGGGCCTCAGCGACTGTAACGGTAGCAATGGCTGTTAGGAAACTTTCTACGACACCCCACCAAACGCTCGCCATGACAGCTACGCCATACTTCTGCCTACTCGCTGAGCGTGCCTGGAACCAGCGGCACGCCATCGATTATCACTTTGCGGCCGCTAACTGGCGTGTCCAAGACGGCTGATTATTCCTGTTTCCCTTCGGTCACTCTCTCCTGCCCCTGTGTGCTGGGCCTCATCTGCGCATTTCACACGCCTGCCATCGGAGCAATACCTTGCTACGTCTGCTAGCGGATACAACCCTCTTTGTTGTCCTGACCAACCGTAAAACCATGTCCGGGTGGATTTCTGCAACATCAGTTTACTAATGCTACCGGCCCGCGTCGCATCTCTATGCATCTCCATATCCGCAGACCGACCTTCCACCATCCCTGGTCTCTACGTGTTTGATTCCACGTTTTCAATAAAGCCTTAATCCAGAGGCTCTGTCCTTACCGTCTCGCCAGGCCGCACAGCTTACCTTTTCTCCATGTCCCCTCTGTTGCTACACCGCTCCAAGAATCGTCGCGTCACCGTTATTCCGGACCCCAACAACTCAGGTGACGCTTGCCACACAGCAACAGACAACGACCCTCGCCAACGCAAATACAAGCGCCTCATGTTGGATTTTTGGCAAGGGCTCCTTGCGACTCTAGAAAGACTCGCCATGTTACCAGCAGTCATGCACTCTGTGCTGCCAAAATTGTCGCCACGAAAACGTACCCGGGATGCATTGCGGACCTATGACCGGCCCATGGAGGACATGTTGCGCGAAATCCAGACCCTATTTGAAGCACCCTTGGACAACGAAAATCTGTTGGACATGTCTGCAGCACTGCAAAGGCAATTTGCCCCCAAACTACAGTCGAGCGACATTTGCATGCTGCCTTCTTACAACCACAAACTTCCTTCTGGACTGGAGAAAGGCACCTACCTAGCTCTGGATGTCGGCGGATCAACATTCCGCGTTGCGCTTGTCGAACTAAACGGTAAACGGCCCGGTGCCAAGAATATGCGCATTGTCTTCATGAAGAGCTACAAGATAGACGAAAAGGTCCGCCAGCGAAGCGGACACGACTTTTTTGAATGGATGGCCGATAAGATTCAGCTGGCACTTGCAGATCAGCAATTGCAAGGCTCGGCCAGCACACAGACTTTCCCCATGGGTCTAGCATGGTCGTTTCCTGTTGAGTGCGTCTTCTACGCCCTTTGCTTCATGTACTCGGCTGACTTTTATTAGGCAAACATCTAGTCGTAGTGCAAACTTGTTGGACATGGGCAAGGGCTTCCGAGCGACTGAAGGGCTTCTTGGTCAGGATCTCAGCGAATTAATAATGGCGCCGTGTAGAAAGAGGGTGAGTTTGAACTTGGCCAAACTGAAAGCTTGAAGCCGCTGACATTTATGCAGAACCTACCTGTGCACATGGATTCCATTGTCAATGACTCTTCTGCGACGTTGCTATCGCGCGCTTACGAAGATCCATCAACACGTTTTGCTGTAATTCTTGGAACTGGATTTAACATATCTGTGCATCTCCCTGTATCGTCACTTGCGAGCACCAAGTACAAGGGCTACCCACAGCAATGGATGGACGAAGCCACGCACGTGCTCGTCAACACGGAATGCAGCATGTTCGGAAAAGGCGTGTTCCCGACGACTAGGTGGGATGAACAACTGAATGATGCACATGTACGACCAGACTTTCAGCCTTTTGAACACATGATTAGCGGTCGCTACATGGGTGAGATAGTAAGGTTGGTTGTTGTCGAAGCTGTACGCACAGCTGGTCTGTTCAGCGGCGAAATGCCCGCCCACATGACCGAACCCTACAGTCTGGATACTGGAACCATTGCAGTCATGGAGATGGACGACTCAAAGTACCTTGGCCAGGCTATCGCCGTCTTCCAGTCTCTACATCCGCTCAGCAAGCCACCTACCGTAAAGGACATTCAGTTTGTTCGCCGAGTAGCGCAGCTCGTTTCGCACCGCGCTGCAGCTTTTCTCGCAACTGGTATTCATGCATTGTGGGTGCTTCGAACGGAGTCCGAAGGTCTGACGCCCGCTTCCGCTGGCCGGATGAGCATTGGCTGCAACGGCTCAGTCATTGAAAAGTACCCCCTGTTCAGGGAGCTCTGCCAATCACATCTTCATGATCTGACTACTGCGTCTGGTGCCGAACCAAAGTCAATCTCACTAGAGATTGCTGTTGAATCAGCCATCTTCGGAGCAGCAGTATCTGCCTGTTGTCTCGAGGGACAAGCCTAGTTCTTTTTTCCTCCATTTATCTCCACCTATTTTTTCTTCTTTGAAAACGGTGGTTGTATATACACATGAGCGTTTTGTTGTTCTATTTCACAATCTAGAATCCCCAAAAGGGCTGGATATGAGATATCTGGAGAGGCATATGGGAGCTTGGATTTTTTTTCCCTTCGGGTACATAAGTTCCCTGCGGCGTTGTTCATCATCAGCATCAGCATCATCATCACATTACTAGGGGGGCGGTAAACCATATGGTTATGAGCATTCTTTTTTTTTCATGATTCTAATGAAACATTCAATAATCCAAGTTCCCGAGTTTCTTGACATGAGTCGATTTTTTTTTCTTGCTACCCCGAGTTTCAGCCAACCCATCACCTGTACCAGATCAAGCAATCAACGAACAGTTACACCGTAACGTCACAGCTACCAACTCCTAGACGACCCGCTTTTTTCTCCAACCACGCTTCCTTCTAATCTTCGCCAACACCTTAACCCAATTTTCCCACCCACTCTAAACCAAATCCAGACCTACCTTCCGGTGGACCCATCAAGCCACGTGGGTTCGTCGTCACCTTGTCAGAAAACGAAGAATCAAGTCTAGCCCTTGAACTACTTACTACTACTACGCCCCGAAACTTATCTTTAAGTGCCCCGGTCCTTCCATTCTTAGCGTGCGTGTGCCGAGCTTCCCATCCATCGTACCCCGTAACCCATATCCCGCCATCCCTCCGTCTTTGAACTAAAACTACTACTATCCATTTTTGGCGCGTGACATTCCCCCCCTCCCGAAAAGAAGAGAGAGAGAGAGAGACAGGGATAGTACGGAACGCCTCCTTCCCCGCCACCACCACCATTAACAAGACCACACTAGTAAGTAAGTAGTAGTACTAGTAGGAAATCTCAACTTGATTAGGGAGAAGACTGGGGGGGGGGCTGGATTCGGTGGGGAGCAACGCAACCGTGTAGCGTAACCTATCTCTCTCTCTCTCCAACCAAAAATGCTACCTCCGATTATTTTTTTCCACCCTCCAATCCTTGTCACGCTTTTCGTTGTAACGGGCCCAGATGGGCGGGCGAGCGGGTGAGCAAGGAAGGAGGGGGAGAGGGGAGGGGAGGCGTTACTATGTAAGATTCCCAAGGTGTGGAGAACTGAGTTTCTTACTACGTATCACAAACTTGGTCTGTTTTTTTTCTTCTCTTTACGCCAACGATCAACGTTTTGCACCCCGTTTGTCCATGCGAAACTTTTTTTTCGAGTTTTTTTTTGGTCCGGGTCTATAATTTTTTTCGGGACTTTGCCCCACACTTCGGGGTGGGTTGGAGGCTTGTGGATTTTTTTTCTCTCTTTTCGTTTGGGGACATGGGATGAGATGGGTTGAGGTGTTACTGTTGCATTGCATGGTTGACGCCAGCATGGACAGACGGGGGGGGGGCTTGGGTTATCAGGCTTGGGGTTTTCTTGGGGCGTACTACGCGGTGAGTGCCACATGGTACTTACGCCACATGGCTGCATTTCTTGGGTTCTGTTTTGCCGAAGAGGGGAGAAATGGTCGGCCATGTATGTAAGGTTGTGTTGGGTTGGGTTACAAAGTTTGGCCGGGGTTGAATCGAGATTGCTGGGTAGCATGGGGGGATATTGCATTAGGGCTTGGTTACTTGGAAACTATGGAGTGTGAAATGTCCAAAGGTGTAACGCTACATTCTCACCTATATTGATACTATCGGTCCTTGTTGCGCTTAGTTGCTGGTTACATGCGTTTCGTGGTATTATGCCCAAGGTGCTTGTCGGAAAAAAAAGGTTACGATGCATCGCAACGTGGATAGTGTGGTCTATTGCGTGATGAATGACATACGAGCTTCTCTACCACCACGATCCACTCTCCAAGTAAAAGAAGGCAGACTAACAACGTCCCGAACGTGGTGTGAAAAACAGATCCCGGTAAAGATAGACTTCGTAAAGATATGACACTGAAAAAAAAGTATGGCGGTATGATTAAAAATAGCTGCCGAAAGGTATCCCACATCCCCAATATCCCATTGCATGTGTTGGTGCCATGGTGTCAGCGTTGAAAAAGCAGAAAATCGTGTCATCGTAAGTCAAACGCCGATTACAGATCAATGACCAACCTTTCCCCCCCTTTTATTCCAACTTGAAAAGAAATGTGAGCAGCCCCATCACCAATATTATTACCTCTTTCCTTCTTGTCCTTGTTCCCTCTTTGTTCATCTTGAAAGAGTATATTATAGGGTATCTGCTGACACCCCGACGACGATTCTTCTCCCCAAGTGTACATATATACATACACACACATATATATATATATGAACAACAGAAGACAAAAAAAAGGCATAATATGGGGAGCCACTCTCCGGTCATCATCAGGGCACTGCTCTTGACGGGACTACAGAAACAAAAACCAACGCATGGGTATCACAAATCGCAAACCAGAGCTTACCAAGCATCCGAGAAGTACCGCTTCGACCGACTCCTACCAGCATCTGCTTTCCCGTCTTGGGGAAATGGAGTAATATGGTGAACGACATGGGGTCGATAGACGGCATCGACAGGCGGCATCCAGTCGTCCAGACCTAAAGGAAAATATTCATAGAGCAGGTCAGCGCTTTCGTCTGGGCTGTTGACGACGCCAATGGAGAAGGAAGGAGGTCGCATCGGGGTGCCACGTTTTCTTTGCTGCTCATTGGGCGAAGGGGCTTTGACAGGCTCATCGTCGGTGAGTGACAGGGTGACTGGCGCTATGGACGTCTTGGGAGGTGGGGCACTTCTTGAAATATCCGGAGTCGACTGTGCATATGGTGTGGCATGTTGCATTTGAGCTGAAGGCGGGTCTTGTGGTATGGCAGTCTGGGCGCCCGTGGGCATTTTCCAGGCAAAGTCTGGCGACTGCGGCATGTCATTTGCGTTGAACTCAAAGGGCATCTGCAGTAAGTCTGTTGACTTGGACGGACCCGCAGCCTGAGCCTGCGCTTGCTTAGGCGTGCCTTGAGTTGTGTCACCTGTCGGGGTTCTGTTGGGCTGCTGCGGGGTGTGCACCTTGCGTGTGGTAGTGCCGCCGCTGATTGGCATGTCTTTTCGGGCTTGGAAGTTGCGCGGGCTTCTACCTCGCACTATAACCGCGCCCGAGTGGATCTCGCAAATGGGCACCTTCATGCCGGTGCTAAGAGTAGCGACAACCTTTAGCCTCACTACAAAATGCTGCTGGAGCTCCTTCCTTCGGCCGTTATTGGCAGTTGCGATTCGAAACTGCAACCGCTTCCAGCTAATAGGAAAGCTAACATAATCGGAATCGACATCTTGGCCGGTTGACAGGTCGAGCGGATATGTGGGTGGCTCCTTCTCCGTCTTGTCCTCGGCAGGAGCGTTGCTTGTCGCCGGTGTCTTCCACGGCACAGATATGATCTTTACCGCGTTGCCTTCCAGGGATTCTGTGGCGGATATGGTAAGTTCTTGGCCGATGATGGGTATCTGATTTCCTTGCTCGGTCATGAGAAGGTGGAGAGCTCTGGGGAGCGTGACTGTGCCGGTAATCTGGAAGAGGTTTCTTCTGTAGCAAGTCAATTCGGAGGGTGGCGATTGGCCATCGGCAGCGGTGGCCCAGGGTGATTCAGCCAGGAAGAACATGCCGTGAAGCTGGGCAGACATGGATATGGGCACTCGTTGCATGGCGTAGTTGAAGATGGGGTATGGCATGGTGGGCAGCGAGAAGCTGAGCAGCTTGTTGTTGCTGTCGATGCTTGGACTTTCGGGAATGCCATTTTGGTCGTGCGGGTGTATCGACTGCTCGTAGCCGCTCTGGACGTCGGAGAAGGGGTCTTCGTAGGTGCTTGGGTAGCGCTTGAGCTGGGGTGGCATCTGCTGGAGGTGGTATGTCGAGTAGGCATCTTCGCTTCTGAGCAGCACTGTTAGCAGCTGCAGCAATAGCAGACACGGCCGAGTGTGCGCACCCAATAAAGGTCTCGGCATCAAACGTCGAGCGCTGGTCGTACTGGTCCACGGGCACCAAGGGCATGGCCATCTGCTGGTCAGGTCCCGTGACTGTCTGCAGCGGGATCGGCATGGGCATGTACGACATGGTGGTCGTGTCAAAGTGCTCCATGGCTCGGGGCGGCGTGGCCGTCGTCGGGGATGGAGTCGCTATAGATTCGGCGCATACACGCGGTGCAAGTGGAGCGGACCCAGCAGTGAGAGGTGCGCTCGCGAGAGGCGGGGGCGCGTGGAAGGGGGAGCGGCGACGAGGGCGGCGGAGGTGGTTGGTGGGTGGTGGTGGTTAGGTGGGAGATGCGTGGGCGGGCCCTGGGGTTGGAAGCGGAGAGGTGCGGGAGGGCAGGTAGTAGCGGAGCGGAGAAGATGGGGAATGCGAGGACAAACAACAGCAGAGGGCAGAGGGAGAGAAACGTCGTCGTGAGCGCGTGGCTTGCACAGCGTGCGCACCGGCCAGAAACACTTGCAGCCGTCTTCAGCGGTCGAGGGAGAGCTGGACAAGGTGTGCGACGACGAGGGTGCATCACACGTGCGGCTGGCTGCCATGGCCTGCCTCTCTCTTAGGGGCGAGCGTCTGGCGGCGGGTATGGCGTCCAGCTGCGCGTGGCGATGCACTGCCTTGGACGACCCGCAGCCACAGACCCCTCGTGTCTATATGCGTACACATGTCCAGCCCATCTACTCTACCTGCCGACACCCAAGAATGTCTGTTCTGCGAGTCCCAGTTGTAAGCATGCACCTCCCGAGTTTAGGGAGGCGAGCTTCATCGGCAGCGCTTCTGCAACGGACACGCCGAACGGCGATCAGCGTGCGCCATCACACGTACCGCTCCCAGCCAAGACCAGGCCCGACATGCTCAATGCGCCCTCCTCCGCACCATCTATCTCCATGTCCCGCCCATAGCTCTCGAGCAATCGTCTCCAGAACCAAGCCGTCCCAGCCTCTGTGTTTGCCCATTCACTCGAACCCTGACGCGACTAGCAGGCCAAGCGGTACGCGGTACGCG